CAAACGACCATAAATGTGTGGGTTCATTTCTGGACTCTCAATTCTGTTCCACTCATCTGTATGTCTGTCTTTATGCCAGTACCACTGTCTTGATTACTGTTATTTTACAGTAAGTTTTGAAATGGGAGTGTGAGTTCTCCAACTTTGTTGTATTTATCAGGATTGTTTGGGCAGCTTTTGTGCTGATTTCAAGATTCTTTGTCTTTGACTTTCAGTAGTTCGATTATGATATGCTTATAGTGTACATTTCCTTGAATTTATTCTATTTGGAGTTTGTTGAGATTCTTGGATATGTAGATTAATGTTTTACATCAAATTTGAGAAGTTGTTGCCCATTATTTCCTCAGATATTTGAATGCCCCTTTCTCTCTCTCCTCATCTCCTTCTTAGACTCATTATATGTATATTGATATGCTTGGTGGTATCCCACAAATCTGAGGTTTGTTCATTTTCTTTATTCTTTTTTCTTTCTGTTTCTAAGACACTCATCAGCCTATCAGGTCATCTCAGTTGGCCTATCTTAAAGTTTACTGATTCTTTTACTTCTTCAAACTTGCCATTGAACTTCCTCCCTTGTTCGTTTTCGTTTTCATTGTTGTACTTTTCAAATCCAGAATTTCTATTAGTTCTCTTCTTATCATTTCTACCTCTTTATTGATATACTCTATTTGATAAAACATGGTTTTATCAAATTTTTTAATCTATTTGATAAAACATGGTTTTTATCAAATCCTCCCCAAAACCCATTCAGGCACATCCCATAGAGAGCTGGTCCACCAAGCAGAGTTAGGCTGAATTCCACTTCTGGCAAATGCCAGGGGAGATGGTCAGAGGCCTAAGTCGCTGCCTTAATCTGTGAGGTGCTATCGCTGCTTCTGTTTCCCAGGGTTTGAGAATCCCTTACCTGCTTGGGAGGGATTTACTATGAAGCTTATTTCATTTTAGCAGATGAGATTCTTATCTAAAGATTCCTTGTTTAAGGTGCCGCTCAAATTTCCAAAATAAACAAACGAAACCTTTCCCCCAATTTTTCTTCTAGAATGTTCTGATAAAATCTTCCTGGAGTTATTGTTCAAACAAGTCACTTCAAAGATGTGTGAAACGCTGTGGCAAGGCAGGTCCCTGATCACCACCACCCCTCTTTAACAACACATACACTCCAAGACAGGGACGTGTCTCATTTCTAGTACCTCAATCTCAGAGATGATTCCTCTAAAAGATGCTTTTGTGTCCTTGTGACTGGACAAAGACGAACTTGCAATGTAGAAAACATCAACTCTTGCCAATTCATCTACCAGTTGCATTTTTTAAAAATTTCCCATTGCATAGCTCCAAGCACATATCTACTAGGCCAGTGTTTTTTATAGTATGATCCACGGATCACCCATGTCAGTATCACACATGAAACTAGTCTGAAGGATTCCCAGGCTTCATCACAGGCCCAGTGACTCAGGATGTGTGGGGCTGGACCCCAGGAAATCAGAATTTTAAAAAGCATCCCAGGTTATTTCAAAGCCTATTTATATTAAATATTTAAGAACCACTGTGCTAGGATTTAATCTGAGATTAACTGAAGCTTGGAAAAAAAAATCTGTAGAACAAGAACCAGATATTGAGAACTGATTTGTACTGTTATCTATGGCAGTGGCTTGTAAACATTTTGACCTCAATCCTTACAAAGGAATACATCATACATCAGGACACAGTACACACACACACGTACACATACTCTGAAGTTAGTTTCATGAAACAGTATTTATCCTTACTATCTGTGATTAATTCTGACATTTCCTATCCTATTCTATTTCATTTTTAAAGAACATTGGACATAACCCACTAATTCGATGCCACACTCCTCTAATGGGGTTTGCAGAACAGTGATCTATAGCAATTACCTGAAATGTAAAGCTCAACTGAGTAAGTGTAAATCTAGGAAAAGAGTGTAGTAGAACACTGCATACTAGTCATTAAATAAGATTTTTAAAAGAGATTCTAAAAATATATGCATTTTGGTATATTTAAAACAGCTTAATCACAATACTGATCTCCAAATGAAATAAATTTCATTTCATATGATCACAAATCTTATTACTTTCAAGTAACAATTATGGGTTTTAGGAGGGGCCATAAATCAGAGTGAAAATCGGATGCTATGTTAAGACTGAGTTTTGGAACTTAACAGATGAGGTTCAGATCCTGGCTGTCCCCTGTGCCAGGGATGAGAAAACCTCTCTAAGCCTCAGTTTCCTCATCTATGAAGTGGGGCTAATCACACCATCTATCTCATAAGGTGGTTGTGAATATTAAACAAGATAATTCATGCAAATAATAATGGAATTATTATTTTAAAACAAGATGCCTTGGAGCAAAAGTTTTAGCACCTTAGAAGAATAAGATACTTAAAGCCTCATTTATAAGCTTACATATAGATTACTATGTATACAGATTTACTACATACCTGGCATTGTCTTTGTTTTGATGAACAAACATTTTCCATATAAGATGCTGTGCTAAGTGCTAAAATTACAAAAAGGCATGAGACAGAGTACCTCTTATTAAACAGCTTATACTCAAGCTGCAAAGCTGGACAACAGAAAGAAATATAAATTGCCAAATCACATGCCAAGTGCCGACCATAAGAGGTAGTGGAAGTGAGTGCAATCCGAATGCACAGAGAAAAGCACTGGGAGTGAGGAAGGTTCCAGATGTGGGGATGGAACAGCACTGAGGTTTGAGCAAACAAGGAGGAGGGCGGAAGGAGCCCCGAGAAGAGGAGAACAACAGGAGTGCACACAACAGGGCAAACTCTGTCCTCAGTTTGGCCAGGGAGCAGTAAGTCGTAAGGGCAAGGTTAGAATTAAGAGCCAGTTTGGGGGTCAGGCTGAGGCAATGGGTGATGTAGGGAGATTCATCTGGAAGGTTGAGAGTGGGGTAAACTGAGGCTGGCTGCGGAGCTCTGGACATTCCTCGAAGAGGCGACCTAATCAAAGCAATAGCATGGGAGAGATGGGACATGTCCCAAAGCTTCATGACATCAATGCTACAGATATTACCCATTGACAGAATGAGGATATCAACACACAAAAAAAATGGTTTGAATTAGTTTTGCCAAAGTTTATGTAGCATTACTTTAAAGCATCGACTGACTTAGTCTCTAGCATGAAGTTTTCTGTACAGACAGGCTGATCACTGGCCGTTTTCCAAAGTGTTAGGTAAGCCATCCCTACTACTCAAGTGATTTTACTTTTCTTGTTCAGATTCTAGGCATTCTTTGCACATCGAGCCACATCTTTGGGTTGAGAACTCAGCTTGCCAGGGACCTTGATATGGAGAAGAATGCCCTGACTCCTATCACTAGAAAGGGTCTAAACCAGCCTTCTACATATCCATCAGACTAGTATAAATTTGGTTTATGGTTGTGTGTACCCATCAGCAAATGTATGGTCATTCTTTATTGTGCTGGAAATCTGTCAGACCTAGTAGGATGGATATTGTCACTCGTGGCTGTACTTCAGAGTCATCTGGATACCTGCTTAGAATCCCTCAGAGTATGGCAGCTATCCAGAGAGCAAAGAGCTCTGGCCCACCAGGGGGACCACCACACCTTCTCATACAATGGTTCTCGATCCAGGCCTCATGTGAGAGTCATCTGAGAAACTTAAACCCATGTCCAGGAATGGACATGAATTCTGATCATCCATGCTCTTCACTCCTAAGCAGAGATGAGAAGGACATTGCAATGCATTGGAGTTGGGGGATTTCTATTCCACTTATGTTTAGGATGTTCAATTATTTTATTCTATTTTATCTCCATTAGATGGCCCTAGCTTAAATTGCTTTAGAGCAAAAGTCAGCGACCTTTCTGTAAAGGGCCAGATATTAAAGAGTTTAGGCTTTGTGTGTTATACAGTCTTTATGGTAACTATTCATCTTTGCAGTTGTGGCACAAAAGCAGCCATACGTAATATGTAAACAAACAAGTGTGCCCACATTGCAATAAAACTTTATTTATAAAAATAGGTGGCCAGTGGCCTGTAGTTTGCAAACCCCTGCTTTAGAATGTTTGAATAATTACAGTTAGCATTCAGATCTGGGGCCCATTAATGCAAAACTAGTAACAAAGCATGAAAATAAATGCAAAAAAATACACTCAATCTTGACTCTTATCCCTCAACTATCATCTAATTGTAATTTACTGGAAACTTAAAATAGGGCCCTGTTTATATCTAAATTTTATGGATCTATTCGTACTATTTCCCCCACACCTCCCTGGTGAGGGTGGCAGTACCATTCCGGCTTCCTCACTGGTAGAAGATGCCATAGCAGTTACTTGTTTATTATGATAGGAGAAAGAAATCCATCTATGCTACCTTTGGATATATATTTATTCCCCATGCAAATGACTAACCAGGTATAAATATACAACCTGAGGCCTGAAGTTTTTGGTTAAATCATTTCTGTTCAACTAAATAGGTTTAATTGAGGAACCTGCCTCAGCCATTGCTTCTGGTTTTGCTCTAATGTCTCCAAACAAATAATGAATGAAAGCCCAAAGGTTGAGACCACTTGCTACGTGGATGGGATCTGGGCATGGATATCACTCAGCCTTGCAAGCTGCAACTGAGATGGAGCTCACTGCATAGCTGTGCTCTACCTAATTCCTGCTCTGGGACAAAGTCCCCCAGTCGATGGTGATAGAGTGATCACATCCAGTCAAGCAGAAGCTGAAAGAGGCCGACACTCCCTGCCACCTCGCTGCAGGGCAGTTTGTCTCCACTGTCAAAGCCATCACCCCTGCACAATGAAGACAAGTGCCAGACAGGGTGGTCTCCCTGGGAAGGAGGGCACAGACTTGCCCCTGCACAAGGCCAGCAATCAGTCAATCTCCATGTCACCCACAGTGTTAAGGAAAATAAAACCAGGCAGAAGCTGCAGCCGCAGATGTGTACTTCTGAGTTCAGTTACCAAGACTCCTCATTGGAGCTCCCTGTCGTACTCACCTGGAAGTGTTTTCAAGTATTCCTTTGACTTCATTCATTTCTTCTTTCCCAAAGTAAACAACGGTGAGATGAACTCTCCCATCCTGTTGGATGCACATCTCCCTGGAAAACACAACACATACGTGTCTGGTTCCTGTTTGCACATTAACACAAACACCTTTTTTTTTTTTTTATGAAGTGCAAAAGGGTCTTGAAATAAAGTAAGTAACCGACCAGGACAGCAGAGATGGGGAGCTGAGGCATTTCTGGTTGGCTATTCTGACTGCCTGCATTTATATATTAATATATCTCACCAGGAGAACAAGGAAATTCAAACATGCAGATCTGGAAAATCAAAACTTGGATATAAGGCACCACAGGTCACGCCTGCCACAGACCTCGCCCCTTGGGGTCAGACAGTGTCATGGAACGTGACGTGGCTTCTTAGCCCCAAAAGGATTCTATGAAATATAAAAGATGTGAATTCCGTTTTGCAAATGAGAAAGCTACAGCTCAGAAAGGGTAAGACTAGAATTTTTATCTATGCCTCCTCTCTTGGGTGAACTAAGCACAAATAGTCCTAGAAACTGAATGAATGAAGGTAAAAATCCTTTTGCTTAGGACTCTAGAAACCCCTGGAAATATCCAGTGTGACAACTGTCCAAGGGAGTGACAAGGCAGAAGCATAGTGGTTGGATTTCACCTTTCCCAGGCAGATGCAATCATCTCCACTGTATCCCCATTTCCCCTGTGACTCTGATTGTCCCAGACACCTGGCATCTCATGCTCCGGGGTCCCGACAGAGCAACCTTCTGGCTCTGGACCGTCCTCCCCTGCGTCCTCACCAGAGCTTATTGGCTGTTTGCCCATGTCCTGTCCTCTCAACCATAACCCCTAATCAATCTAGTAAGGTCCTAAGGTCCTCTGCTGGGGTTTACTTTATATATGCATATGTGCATATGCATAAATGTGTGTATGTGAATATATATATATATGCGCAAGTAAATGTATGTGTGCATGTATGCCTACATAAATACATATGTATGCAAATATGTTTGTGTACATGTATATGCATATATGTACAGTCATCCATCAGTGTCCATGGGGGATTGGTTCTAGGACCCCCTGTAGGTAAAAAAAAAATCCACAGATACTCAAGTCCCTTATATTAATATAAAAGAGTAGTATTTGCATACAACCTATGCACATCCTCCTGTCTACTTTAAATCATCTCTAGATTACTTTTAATGCCCAATCCAATGTGACTGCTATGTAAATAGTCCTGCATCACTTAGGGAATGATGAGATAAAACGTCTGTGCATGCTCAGTACTGATGCAACCACCCATTTCTTAATAGTTTTGATCTGTGGTTTGCTGAATGGAGGGTGTGGAACCCATACATACAGGGGGCTGAGTGTATGAGTGGATGTGTATGATTTTAATGTGAGTTTTCCAGAAACAAGTTAATGGAAAGATTCTATTGGTAGGATGATTTTTTTGTGATATTTTGCATTTTGTCTGTTTTATTCTTCCACTTTTTTTTTTTTTAATCTCTGTATTGGCTACTTTCCTTAACCCACAAACAGTAATCCACACCATAGCTCTCTAGAAATCCCCGAGCTGTAATTGCAGAGGCCGGTTTATTCAATGCTTGGAATAATGATATCAAAGACGAGTGACTGCCTGCCTGGGGTTGCTGGAAGAAATCCAAAGCAAGAGAAGGTGTGGTTCTTGCCCTCAAAACACTTACTTGGAAAATAAAATGAGCTCAAGCAAAACCCACAGACACATCGTGGCACAGATAAAAAGAATATGGAATTCATAAAGCACAGCAAACCCTGTGGGCTGCAATGATTGGGGTCTTGAAGGATGAACAGGGCTTAGAAAGGGAGAGAGGAGAAAGAAGAGAGTCCCAGATGGAAGAAACAGGGAAGGTGATCTCGACTGGGCAAGAGGCACTCAGGGCTCCCCTGGTCACAGGTTGATCCTGAGACTTCTGTTTTTCAGAATTCTGAGCAATTGAGGAAGAAGGCTAAGAGCTGCCCTGGGGCCCCAGAGTGACGGTGGAGGTCTTAGAAGCAGACAAGCGATTGGGAACAGAGGCTTAGAGTGTCACGACATGTTTCAAAGCTGAGACCACGGTCCCTGCAGACTGAATCATCACCCACCACCAACAAAATTCTCTGCACATAAAGGATCCCTTTCACCAACTTGCCAGACAATGTCTTCCCTTCCTTTGCCAGGGTAGAATAAAAGCACACACACAGGGCCAAGTGCCAGAAAAACTGTGCTTGAAAATTGTGTGTGCAGTTGGAAAAAATCCATCCCAGAATCAGGAGAGGGTCACCTGTGGAGCCTGAATAAAAAGCAGTCTCATTTTTCTAATAACATCTTTGCTGTCTCCCTCTAGTATTTTTATATCCATTCAAAGCACTTCCTGTTTTTAAGAAATAAGACAGAGATGCATTGGGCCTTTATTCTTTGTGACCAGGTGAAGTTTCCCCCAAAAAGGCAAAGCTGAGTTTGTTCTGAGCCCCACCTTCAGGGTTCTATTTCATTTATTCATTTGTTCTTTCATTCATTCAACAAACACTTGTTGACAACATACCATATGCTGGATACGCTACCGAGAGATCTTGAAAAATAAGAACTGTCTGCTCTTGAGAAGTTTTCTATCTACTGTGCAAAACTAAAACTCTCCAGGATGTAATAAACAAATGATCCAGGGAAGTGTGAGCCCGGTGCTACGGAAACACCATTGCTGTCTGAACTCTGTCCTGTTCAAAATAATTATCCCTTGACTTCACTTCCTGGAAAGATGTATACAAGAAGGAGTATGCCCATGTGTGACTATTTTCTTGAGTATGACTTTGGTTTGGAGGTCAAAGGTTAAAAAATAAAGTACAAGGGATGAAAACATAGAAAATCTTGTTCCTGCATAAGTAGACTTCTTTCTTTTCACTATTAACTATTTGTAGCTGGACACGTGCTACATGGATCCCCAATTGACTTGTGTGAATCTGGTAGCACATACCTATGAACAACTTGTTATTGCTGTACATGAAACCTTTGCAACCAATCTCAGGAACTCCGACTTCCTGGGAACCCTGGTGGAGCTTGTCATTTTCCCACAGTTGCTGTACACAAAGCTCTCCAACCCCTATTGTGGTCATTCTTCCACCTCAACCTGGAAGCCCAGAAATTCTGTTTCTATTTCCACAAAGACCTTGTCTTTTTAGGATATTTTTCCCTCAAAGAAAAAAAAAAAGAAAGAAATAAACAGTTCCTTCTCCCCCAAGATACTGTAACACAGCGCATAGAGACTAATTAAGATATATTTCCTGTCAGAAAACATGTATCACAGTCACTTAGACACCCGTATTTCTATTTCCCAAGAAGCCAAGAGCCCTTTCACGGTCTTTGAGTTCTGTTACTAATCGGTACTACTTCCCTGTGGAGAGGTGTGTGTGACCACTGTTCACGTCCTTAGTGTCGAGGAAAGGAAATGACTTCCAATGACCTGCCCAAGCTGGGGAAGCAGCCAGGTACACACTCCAGTTTCTGAAGGGCTGCTCACCTGGCATTCACCTGCCCAGGTCACCTGAGCCACATGAGGGATGCACCTAGGAAATCTGACAGCTCTGCTCTTGTTTTGTAGTCCTTACTAGCTGCTTGGTTTGTTTTGTGGCACCGCAGGAGGGACAAGCCTCCTCAACACTCCTCCTGCTGCTAGTCGGTGGTGGGGGATTGTTGTTTTTTTTTTGTTTCCTGGTGGGCAGTCTTGTGTGATGTGCTGCCTCTTGTGGTGGCCTGCTGTGCGGCGTGTTTTTTGTGGTGAGTGGTGGTCCTTCTTAGTGTTGTTGTCTTGTTGGTGCTGCTTCTTGTTTGTGGGGGTGTCTTTTGTGTTGTTTTTTGTTGTTTGTTTGGCTGCCTGGCTTGTCTGTACTGCATGCCAGTAGCACCCCCCACCCCAGTTATGACAACCAAAGAGTTCTCCAGACTTTGCCAAATGTCCCAGTGCAGGGGGAGGTCAGCCTGCAAAACTGCCCCATTTCCGAACCGCTGTCTTAAGAATCAGGCTTGGTAACACCACCTTGATCTGTCAGAGGGGTAGTGTGGTTGTAAACACACACACATGCCTGGGGCTGGGCCTGCTCTCCAGCCAGGTCATGTGGGCTCAGCTGTGAGTCCTCGGGAGAGATGGGGCTGCAAAAGACACCAAAAGGCTTTCTTTGCAGAAGACAAAATTCTAAGGGGTGTTGGGAGCTCAAGACAGAGCTTTTGGGGAAATTAACATAGTGGTGTTGGCACGGTAATGATGCCAGTGGTGGGTATGGTGGCAGCAGCCTCCGCTGCCATGAGCTAGTCATGTAGGCTGTTGTCAGAAGCGTGAGTTTACACTTCATGTAGCTGATGCCCGTGCAGTCAGTGGAGGCTGAACTTATATCTGACCACATGTGAGACGTCACTGAGGATGCACAGAACGCCTGAGAGGGACAGAGAAGCTTGGAGATCTTGCCAGAGTAAGTGAGAGTGAGAGAGAGTATGTGTGTTTGTGTGTGCAGAAAACCTGTGTTTCTCTTCCAGCTAGCAATGCTTATTTGTATACTGTAGGCTGAGTGGCCTAGGGAAACATGGATTCAATAATAAACATTTACTGAGCACTTTTGTGTGCGATGCATTGTTCCCATTGGCATAAGATTTACGAAGGATAACCACATCTGGTCCATGGAGGGGAACCAACCATCCAGGTTTGCCTGGGACTCTCCAGATTTTAGCACTGAAAATTCCCTTGTCCTAGGAAACCCCTCAGTCCCAGGCAAAGTAGGATGATTGGCCACCCTAGCCACCCCAGGGACTTTATGGGAAGAATGGACAGTTGAAGAGATAATAGGATGCAGGATGGAGTAACCATGGTAACAGAAGTATAGGGAGCCAAGTGGATGTGGAGGAGAGGGTGGTTAATTTCTAATGGGTGTAGGGGAAGGGGTGCTAAGGAAAAAAGAACATCCAAGCTGATCCTTGACAGGTGAGGAGCTGCACACAGGTGAAGAGGAGAGGAGAAAGGGCTTCCACTGCTGAGAAAAGGCACACAGGCAAGGAAAGCACACCACTGTTTCTT